GCCGAAAGGCCTGCGTACAACCTCCCCTGGCCAAGCGATGCCAAGGCGCCCTCCAAAATTAACGAGGAGTGAGCGGAGCAGGGTACACAATGTGGTTGTGTTTGATCCCGCGACGTGTCACTTGGAATCTCAATTTATTGCCAATAGACGACGTTGTCAGGCACTAATTTTCTCGTGGCGCTCCATCACAGGCCTCTCAACACCAGGGGAGGGGCTCAGAGGCTGGTGGGCAGGGGGGCTCAGAGGAGCCGTCGCGAGCCAGCCAGGGGTTCCTGTAACGAGGCTTTAATGAGGGGAGCGCGCCGGCCTTTGTCGAGAAACCGGAGGAGGAGGCGGCGGCTGGGTCAGGAGCTCGGCAAGGTCGCTTCCTCCCCCGGCCCCGAGAGCCCGGGAATCCGGAGAGGGTCAGCGGCGGCCGCCAGGCCGGGTGCCTACTGAGGGGCTGTCCTGGGCCCGCACCACCCTCGCCCACTCCGAACTGCGAACTGCAGCAGGAAACACAACATTTCCAAGCAACAATGCAAACGCGCTCATTACCATCTTCTCAATATGCATGAAGAAAATGCACAGAGCTGGCCGAGCCCCCTCACACCGCTCTGGCCTCGGCGTCCAATAAGGCGACAAATTCATCTCTCAGGATGAATGAGGAGGGGGCGCCGGGGAGGCAGATCCACGTGGGGGAGGGGACGGATCCCGGAGAGGGAGAGAAGAAGAGAGAATATTTACGGAGACGAGAACCTGAGAGACAGAACAAGAAATCCAAGGAGGAAATAGGAGAGGATCCAGATGGAAGTGGGGAGGAAAGAAAGAAAATTAAAAACGAGAACTGCGGATGGGGGAAAGGGACACAGTCACAGACGCAGGGAGAGGGAAAAAGAGACATTAAGAAGGGGGTGAAGGAGGGAGCAGAAGGGAGAAAAGTGAACTGAAAAGTGGTCCAGGGCAAAGGCATAAAAACAGCACAGTGAGGGAGCGGAGGAAAGAGAAGAAAAGTGAATGATCTAGAAATCGAAGATAGAGGAAATGGGAAGGACAGACGGAAGGAAAGAGAAAACCAAAGGCACGGGGGAGGGGGCTGCTCAAGTCAGGTGGAAAACGGCTGATCCGGAGGAGGTAAAAGAAAAGAAAATCATTCCCGCGGAGGGCCAGGATCTTCCAGCCAGGTCACTCAGGGTGCTGCGCCTCTCGGGCCGCTGACAGACGCAGGGAAGTGAGCCGGGTCGCAGGAGGCGCAGGGGCGGAGCGGGGGACCTAAGAGCCCACCGCCTTCACGCCCCACCTTGGGCATTCCGACTCGCTCCCGGGTGCCCAGCCCTGGCCCGGGGCCCACCCTGCGCGTCGCGGCCCGCCACCGCTGTTGCACCATTCCGGCCGGCGGCCTCTCCCGCGCCGAGAGCGAAGTTGGCAAAGTTTACCCCTAAGTTTCCCCGTCGCTTCTCCGGACCCAAGAAGGGCCTCCAAGTCCCTGGTGGCCGGTGGGGAGCGGCAGCACGCTCCGGAGAGCTCTGGAGGCCCCCGGTCCGCGTCTCCTGGGATGCTCGGAGTCCGGATTCCTGGCCAAATACGAATTCCACCCTGTGCGGACGCCAGGCCATGCTCTCAGGAGTCCGCCGCTGCTAATAGCGGAGAAAGAGAACGCGAAAGTGAGAGAGAGGGAGAGAGAGAGAAGGAAAAAAAATATTCTCAGCTCAATTTAAGTCTCATGGAAAGGGCTTACAACTGTAATTAAATCATTAAATTCTTGTCTACGCTTCACAGAGCGGAGAGAAATTAACTTCCCACCAACCTCATTTTCTATTTGAACATGAAATAATGATTTTCTGCCCGTCTAATTACAAAGCCAACATCTGATCAAGCCAGCATCCAGAGGGGATTATCGCATGCACGAGTATTAGACCTCATTACCAGCTTGAGTGCAAAATTATTACATCTTGTAATTGGATGGTGAGATTTATATACAGATCGGCCCGGTTTCTGTAAGATTGTAATTACAAGCTTCGTTGGTTAGCTACTTATCAGAACTTTGCAGGAAAACAAAACAAATGACTGAGGAAAACGAGCATTTCATTAACCTGTAACCCGAGCGCGAGGGGGAGGGAACGGTAGGAGCGCGCGCCGCAGCGTCTGCAGGAAGCTCAGAGATCGCGGGTTGGCACCGCAGCCCAGGGACTCAGGGCCTGGGAGGGATGGATAGAAGATGGGCCGGGGCTGGGAGTCCCAGGGCTGCAGCGGCTGCCCTTGACCGGGACGCGTGAGCACCGTGAGGCTGGGTAAGGAGGGGGCAGGAAGCGGGCCTGGTGACTCAGCTCTTGTGAAGTGCGCGGCGCAGCCCACAGAGCCTGGCGGGCCGCGGACTCGGGGCACTCGTCGGGCAGCGGCTCCTGGTGCGCAACCAGCGCACGCGCGCCAAGTGCATGCGATGGACAGACACCCTCTCTGAACACTCCCCGCTCCGTGGGCAGCATTGAGAAGGCCTGCAGTGAGTCTCCAAAGCGCTTTGTGCGCTAGGAATGTTGAAAGAAGGCAAGATGATGGAGAAGCTTCTGCGTGAAGCGCGTTCGTGCGCGCGACTTTCCCGAATCTACTTCCATGCACCTGCTTTTCTTCCCTGTGCGAGCGTGTCACTCTGACCATTTAATCTGTTGGATTAAAAATCCCTGGAAAAGGTTCAGCTGCCCTCGGACCCTCGAATGCAGCCCACAGCCGGGCTCCACTGGCCCAGTCGAGTTGGCGGACCAGCGCCACGTTGGACGCTGCTGCCTGGGACGCTGAGTCTCGACGTGGCGCGCAGATGGCCCGGACAGACCAGGGCTGTTCTCAGTTGGAAAGTAGGGTAGCCAGGAGGCCGCTTCTGCTCGAGGCCTGGGGAGCCTGGAGGGATCTAATATGCGAGGTTCTTGGGTCCGCGTCTGGGTCTGGAGGCTCACTCCCTGGGCTGTGGGCGTCCCCCACCCCCCAGCCAGCGTGACTGAGTCCCTAAGAGCCGCCTGGCCCTTCCCTGGCCTCTTTCTCGCCGCCCGCAGTCCGACGCAGCCAGGTCGATAGCTGGTTAATGCGGAAGGAGCATCTCCGAGGCTCATTATTGTTTTTTCTTTTCCTTCTGAAAAAAGCTGAATTAAATATCGGGAGTCTCACTCGATCACTTACAGCGTAGCCCTATTCCCCCCACCTCAGAATCTCGCTCGGCTCCCCCCTGGTCTGGTGCCACCACTTTGTACAAACACTATGACTTCAGGGCCGTCGAGGCTCAAGGTCTGACACCTAGGAAATATCCCGGAAAATAACGTTACTCTCAATTTTGTAATCCCAAGTATCTTCGCGTGAAAGTTAGCCCAACATTCCCTATGCTACTCTCTGAGAGGTGTAACGGGAAACGAAATCAGGCGTCGAGGAGGTATTTCAAAGTCAGGGCGGCCCCTGATGACGCCTCCTTCGGCTAGGCTCCTGAGAAGGCACCAGGCTCCCCGACACCAGGCTGAGGCGGGAGGGAAGGTGATAGGGAAACTGCTCAGATGCAGTCTGGGAGTACCCCACTTTCCCTCATTGCCGCCAAACCTGGTCCTCCTCAAACTTTCCCAAGCTTCCTCCCCGCCCCCGCCCCGCCCCCGCAGGGTTTTTGGCATTCACACCTACTAGGGCCGCGGGCCTGTGCCAAGACCCCCGGAAAGAGGTGGGAAGTGGGAGGTGGGCGGTGGGGGTGGGATCAAAACTGGGTGTCTGCCGTAGAGGTGGAAGCATCTTTCATTCCAGAGCTGGGCTCCCCAGAGCTGTGCTCCCCAGAGCTGTGATCAGAGACAGCCGGGGCCGAGACCCTCTGATCTCCTCTAATCCTGCCACTCTGGTGGAATTCGAATTCGATTCCTGGATCCATCCATGCAAGGTGACGGTTTCCGCCTCCGAGCTGGGGCTGGCCACTCCACGGCAGAGTTGCCACCCCCGTTTTGTCTCCGGGGCGTGCCCACTGCAGGCCTGGCTGGCTTGTGGGTCGCCGCCGCGGCCTAAAGCTCTGAGCCCCCAGCCGCGGCAATGCTGAGAATTTCAATGCTGCTGACGACTGCACGCCCTAATCCGTGAAGGTGGGCGCCCGATCCTGGGATTTCAAGTTTGATTCAGGAAATATCCCATCATTAAACCAAAACTCTTGCCTTCCATCCCCACCGGAGGCGGTGGGAGGATCCTTGTAGAGAGAAAAGAGGTTAGCGCCGGGACCGGGAGAAGGGGTAGGGGTCGCGCAAGGAAAGATCTCTACAGACGAAAACGCCAATATAGAAACTTCTCGAAGAGCTCTCCAAAAGTTCCTAGGGCCTCCGTGGCCCGGCGCCCTGCTCCTCCCCCATTCCCAGCCGCCTGGGGCGCAGGCCTGCTTCACCGATTTGTGGCGGCTCCCCACCCTTCCAGCGCCCCCGGATTGCCACCCTTCAGCCCCTGGAGCCAGCCCGCCATTTTTAGTAAGGGATTCGCACGCGGACCCGGGGGCGGCGTTAAGTGGCTAATCTCAGGGTTTTGTCCTCCTGGATGGGGGGCTGCCTCGCCCCCGCAGGGCAGCGAAGGGGCCTCTGAAGACGATATTAGGACGCACTCCCTCGCTCCCCACCCCCACGCCGGCTGCTAGCTCCCTCCCTACGCTGCTGAAAGTGGCCAGGAGTCCAGAGGTGCGAGCTGCAAAAGGGGCTCGGGCACAGGGGGGCCCCCGGAGCCAGCCTCGGCCACGGTCCCGCGCCTCGGCCTGGGGACAGGCTTGGAGGGGCGGGAGGCGGGAGGGGCGAGCTGACCCTGCACTCACCCAGTCCCCGCGCCTCTCGCTCCCCCGCCCGGCGCGGGCAGGAGGGGGCGGGCAGGGACTCGCGGCGCTCCGGCTCCCGCCCCTGCCCCGCCCCGCCCTGCGCGCGGAATCCGCGGGGGTGGGCGGCCTCGCCCGTAAGGCGCCCAGGCGATTGGCGACTCGGGGAAGAGACGCGGGGAAAAGTCGAATAAGAGGGCGCGACGTCAGACCCGAGATTTGGGGAAGGGCGAGGGAGGGGGTGGAAGGGCGGGGATGGACACACAGACACGGACACACACCCCCCGCGCGGCACCCTAAGTGTCCACAACTTTTGGCTGCCTTACTTAGCCCAGGGTGCAGAGGCTGGAAAGGTTGGGGGAAGTATCGTGTGAGTAAAGAGAGAGATTTAAAGAATAGAAGTAGTGAGAGAGGAAAAAGTGAAGGGAACGGACCGGAGAGCAAAAGCCATCGTGAGAAAGGGAAAGGGAAGGGGAGAGGAGAAAGGAGAGTTTCATAGCGTCCAGGGCAGTGCAGGAGCCCGAAGGAGCGGAAGCGATCCTGGGGGGAAGAGGAGTGCGGGGAGGGGAGGGGAGGGGAGAGGAAGGGCGAGGAGGGGGAGTGAAAACTAGAGGAGGGAGAAGGAAGCGAGGCGCGACACTGCTGGGGAGAGGAGGGCAGTGAGGAGCGAGGCGCGGGCAAAGGCAGCTCCGGCGGCCGAGAGGAGGGAGCGCGGCGCAGAGAGGAGGGGCTTGCGCCCCGTAGAAATGTCAATCAGAGCCCGGAGCCCCGGGAATCTCCGCCAATCTGTTCGGACCTGACCTGGCTCCTCGCCGCCGCCGTCGCCGCCGCGGAGCAGATCAATAGGCGAACGCGGAGCACAGCGCAGCGCCGGCGGCAGCGCGGCCCCAAGCCCGGCCCAGCTCCCGATGCGCGCCGGAGCCCGCGGGCGGCGCTGAGCTGGGCGGCCCGGGGGCCGGGCCCCCTCTCCGTCCGTGCCCCGCGGGCCACCATGTCCTTCCCCCAGCTGGGATACCAATACATCCGCCCGCTTTACCCGTCCGAGCGTCCGGGGGCCGCTGGCGGCAGCGGCGGCAGTGCGGGGGCCCGGGGCGGCCCGGGTGCCGGAGCCACAGAGTTGGCCGCCTCGGGGTCCCTGTCCAACGTGCTCTCGTCCGTGTACGGGGCGCCCTACGCCGCGGCCGCGGCGGCCGCCGCCGCCCAAGGCTACGGCGCCTTCCTGCCCTACGCCGCGGAGCTGCCCATCTTCCCACAGCTGGTAAGAGCCCGCGGAGCCGGGGAAGGAGGGGTTGGCGCTGGGGCGCAGGGCGAGCTGAGCGCGCGGGGTTCGGACTAGAGGGGTGCAGGCCAGGAGGGGGGAGGCAGCGACGGCTGGGGCTCACCCGCGCTCCCTCCGCGCGTGTTCCTTCCTTCTCCATGTGCCTACAGGGCGCGCAGTATGAGCTGAAGGACAGCCCCGGGGTGCAGCATCCGGCCGCGGCTGCCGCGTTTCCGCACCCGCACCCCGCCTTCTACCCGTATGGCCAGTATCAATTCGGGGACCCGTCCCGTCCCAAGAACGCCACCAGGGAGAGCACCAGCACGCTCAAGGCCTGGCTCAACGAGCACCGCAAGAACCCCTACCCCACCAAGGGCGAGAAGATCATGCTGGCCATCATCACCAAGATGACCCTCACCCAGGTGTCCACCTGGTTCGCCAACGCGCGCCGGCGCCTCAAGAAGGAGAATAAGATGACTTGGGCGCCTCGCAGCCGCACTGACGAGGAGGGAAACGCTTATGGGAGCGAGCGCGAGGAGGAAGACGAAGAGGAGGACGAGGAGGATGGCAAACGCGAGCTAGAGCTGGAGGAGGAGGAGCTCGGGGGGGAGGAGGAGGACACGGGGGGCGAGGGCCTGGCGGACGACGACGAGGACGAGGAGATCGATTTGGAGAACTTAGACGGCGCGGCCACCGGGCCTGAGCTGTCCCTGGCTGGGGCGGCGCGCAGGGATGGCGACCTCGGCCTGGGACCCATTTCGGACTCCAAAAATAGCGACTCAGAAGACAGCTCTGAGGGCTTGGAGGACCGGCCACTACCGGTCCTGAGTCTGGCTCCAGCGCCACCACCAGTGGCCGTGTCCTCACCGTCTCCGCCCTCGCCCCCCGTGGGCCTGGACCCCTGCGCTCCCGCACCAATCCCCACCTCCGCCCTGCAGAAGCCCAAGATCTGGTCCCTCGCGGAGACTGCCACAAGCCCGGACAACCCGCGCCGCTCGCCTCCCGGCGCGGGGGGGTCTCCACCGGGGGCAGCGGTCGCGCCTCCCGCCCTGCAGCTCTCTCCGGCCGCCGCCGCCGCCGCCGCTCACAGACTGGTCTCAGCGCCGCTGGGCAAGTTCCCGGCTTGGACCAACCGGCCGTTTCCAGGCCCGCCGCCCGGTCCCCGCCCGCACCCGCTCTCCCTGCTGGGCTCGGCCCCTCCGCACCTGCTGGGACTTCCCGGAGCCGCGGGCCACCCGGCTGCCGCCGCCGCCTTCGCTCGGCCCGCGGAGCCCGAAGGCGGAACAGGTGACTGCTGAGCGCTGGACGCGGAGCGGGGGCGGGCTCTGCGGATAGTGCCGGAGCTGGCCGGGAGGGGCAGGGTCCGGGAGGCGCAGGGCGCGTCCCTCTCCGCTCCTGCTTTCTGCGGCCCTGGGCGCCGGAACCGAGCGCTCTAAAGGCCCTCCTTTTTCTTCCCCCGCTTCCCTTAGATCGCTGTAGTGCCTTGGAAGTGGAGAAAAAGTTACTCAAGACAGCTTTCCAGCCCGTGCCCAGGCGGTAAGACCCCGAGGTTGGGGGGCTAGGGGGACTGACTGGAGGGGAAAGGAGAGAACGTGGAGCACCACGCACGGCCTTTTGCCCGGGAATAGCATGGAACCCTGCTGGGACGCATTTTGTAAAAGGGGACGAAAGTCACTTCTTCGGTCGCCCCTGTAGGCCCTGCGACAGCTCTCCAGGTCCAGCCCAGGCACCCCAGGCGCGGCCGGTGGGTACAGCGCCTGTACCTTCTAGGGGAAGCCTTGCGTGGCTGGGCCCACAGGCCACTGGGGCGGGTGGCGGCTCTCTGATGCTCACCTCTTTCCAGCCCCAGACCTCGGGTCCTGACGCCTCGTGCCCACCCTACAGTTAAACCCCCAACACACACATCTACAACTGGACATAATTTTACATTGCAACACCTTCCTGACTCTCGGCCCCAACCCAAGTAGGATCTCCCGGCCCTAGGCCGCCTCTGCGCTCCTGAATCTCACCTTTTTTGCTATTACTGTCTCTCTCTTCCAGGCCCCAGAACCATCTGGACGCCGCCCTGGTCTTATCGGCTCTCTCCTCATCCTAGTTCTTTAAAAAACAAAACAAAACAAAACAAAAACTTTTTTTAATCGTTGTAATAATTGTAAAAAAAAAATCGCTCTGTATAGTTACAACTTGTAAGCATGTCAGTGTATAAATACCTAAAAGCAAAACTAAAAAAAAGAAAGAAAAAAGAAATAAAACCAGTCCTCCTCAGCCCTCCCCAAGTCGCTTCTGTGGCATCCCGCATTCGCTGTGAGGTTTGTTTGTTCGGTTGATTTTGGGGGGTGGAGTTTCAGAATAAACGTGTCTGCCTTTGTGTGTGTGTGTATATATACAGAGAAATGTACATATGTGTGAACCAAATTGTACGAGAAAGTATCTATTTTTGGCTAAATAAATGAGCTGCTGCCACTTTGACTATAACCCGCCTGTCTGCCCCCTCGACGGATCTGTTTGGTGTTTTTTTGTTTTTGGGGTTTTTTCTCCCCTTGGTTGTTTGAAGAATTCGCGGGAAAGGACGAGAGACGAATCAGGACCGAGTAGTCAAACGACAGCAATAGCTGAGGGGGCGCAGAAGTGGCGGGGCTGGGGGCGCCGCAGCAGGAGAAGTGGCTGGAAAAGCACCTGGGGCGGCGGAGAGAACGGGAGCAGGAGACAGGTGGGAGACCCCGACAAGATTCTTTGCTAAGAGCCAGGAATCTGGGCCCGACCCACAGTTCTACGGGAGCAACCGCGGTGGCTTGGATCCTTCTCTGGCGACCTTGCCAAAAGATTTAGAGAAGGGTCTGGACACAACGGGGTTAGCCTGCGCGGGTGGTGGGGGCGTGTTCTCATCACTCCCCCCCGCCCCGCCCCCGTCCCCATTCTTTGATTGACACAATTGAGGCTTTCTCAGTGTTACCTATAAGAGGTTGTACGAGCCCAGATTCCATCCTCCTTCCAAGCCGGTTGCACCCCTTCTGTCTTTATAAATGCCAGGGTGTGGGGTGACGGTGGAGGCAGATATGGAGAAGAGGGGAGCCTAGGGGTACATATCAACCCTCTAGATGATGTGTGACTGCCCAGCTCTAGTTGAGAGTTGGGAGCCCGGGTCCTGGCAGCATCTGTGCGTCTTGGCACCCTGGTGGGTTTTCCCACGTGCCCTAGAAGAGGCATCCTGCTAAAGTCCCGGCGCAAGGGTTGCGGGGGTGTCAGACCCGCAGCACCTTTCCAGCCGGGATTCCGGCTCCAGGCGGGCCTGGGGTGGGCGGGCCGGGGGAGGCAGCTGGGAAATTTGGGGCTGGAGCTCCCTCTACAGGACAAAGGGGACGCTCGGCGCCTCGCCTCCCTGGCCTCTCCACCCTGCCGCGCGCCGCGCCCCCTCCGCACCCTCTTTTTCCTCTCGCAGTCAGCCAGCCAGCCTGGCCCAAGTTTGACTTGAAGAAGCTGTAGGGAGTGTTTGGGCGAGTGACACCTCGGGGTAAGAAGGAGAGACACATTTTTTTTGCCCCCTCCCCACGTTACTAAAGGTACGGTGTGGCCAGATGCGGGGTGTTTGACCCTCACAGTGGCGCGTGTGACTATCTCCCGCGTTCCAGGGAGGTATGGGAAGCGCGCACATTCCCCGAAGCCACGGAACAAGACACGGCTCAACATTGCACAACTTCGAGACCCGGCGGTAGCAGAGCGGAGCCCGACAGGACTGGGCCGTGCGGGCCCAGCGGTCAGCGCCGCGCCTCGGGAGTCCCTTCCGCGAAGGGGGCGATCAAGGTGCAGCGGCGCCCCATGGGCGAGTGGGGAGGGGGCTGTGTCGGCCTCTGTGTCACTCTGCGAGCGCACAGAGGGCTGGCGAACCGCTAGTGGACACCCGGCAAAGCCGCTCCTCCGCTGGCTTGCTCCTCCAGCCCCTTCCTCAAAGGCCAAAGAGACGTCTCCTCGGCTCCCCAGCGTTCCCTCTCTTTGTTAACGGTGTTTCTGGGGTTCAGGCTCCTTCCCAGTTCGTAAGCTCAGACTGAGGTTTCGCTCTGGCCCTGCTCACAGCGCCCCCAGACGTGGAGCACGCTCATCTTCGCGGACTTGGAACTGAGGCCGGAACGCCAGGACCCGGGCAGAGACTGGTTAGCACATTGAATGACTTGACAAGGACAGCACTCCGACACCTCAACAGCTCAGGCCTCACAAGCTTAACTGGCACCGACTCTGCTCCCACTTACCCCCTGTGAAACCCAAGGCAGACAATTCACTTCTCTGAGCCCTTATCTCCTCATCTACAAAATGGGAATAATGAGGGCAAAGAAGAAGAATGTCCAGGGCTGACACGAGGTAGGTGGGAAGAAGCAATCTTACTCTTTTTTTTTTTAATTTAGAGACAGGATCTCACTCTGTTGCCCAGGCTGGAGTATTGCCCAGCCTGTTGTCCAGGCTGGTGCAATCATAGCTCACTGCAACCTCAAACTTCTGGGCTCAAATCATCCTCCTATGTCAGCCTTCTACTCACTAGAACTACAGGCACACACCACCACACCCTGCTATTTTTTTATTTTTGTAGAGACAGTTGCTCAGGCTGATCTTCAACTCCTGGCCTCAAGCAATCCTCCCACCTCAGCCTCTCAAAGCACTGGGAGTACAGGCTTGATCCTCAGCACCTGGTCATTTTACTATTAAAATTACATTTCAGAATCTCCAACTTCGCTTTTTAAACTCCCAGCAGTATTACACTCCACCCCTTTCATTAGCAACAAAAGTGAGGTGTCTGCATTCAGGCATCCCAGGATCCTTTGCAACTCCAGCTCAGCTAAGCAAGAGAGGAAACTTCCCAGGCAGGGGCACAGCAGAGAGGGGGCTGTGATCATGGAGGTGACAGCAGAAGTTAGGTGGCCTCTCTACACTGAACACCACCCAAGAGGAGGCAGGGGATCTGCTCACAGCCAGATGGGTATGGAGAAGCAGGTGGGGCTTGAAGATGCCTGAGTGCAGGTCTCTAGGTCTTTCTCTGGTGGAGACCCCAGAGTAAAGTCAGCTTCTCAGGCCACATCCCAGGGATAATGGTCCTTGCATGAGCCACTTTCTGTCCCCACTGAAAAATCAGTAGATTTAGGTACCAGAGGAGACTTGGCATAAACCTAGGAGCAGTTCCCATGCATCCGTATTTTCTCTTATCCCATAGAACACATGAGCCCTCAAGTGGTCCCAAGTTGACCCCAATAAGATAATCTAATCAAAACAGAAAAAGAATCTCAGCTTCAGCTTCACAGCTGAAAGAGGGAAGAGGAGATAGTCCCTGTGGCGTCTCTTTCACTTGACTGAACTCCCATTTCTTCTCTTCCTCCCAGAACCTCCTCCCTAAGCCCTCCCCTCATCTCCCTCCTCTCAGGGGTCCCTGGAATGCCTCCATCCCTTATTGTCTGTCCTTAAAAATCTTAAAGGGAAACCAGGAGGGAGAGAAGGAGAGGGACTATGGGAATCTCATCCCTGGTCCTGATTAAGCTTCAATTAGAAATAAAATATGTCAATCACCCCTCCTGGAAGGGGTTCCTGCTGTCGGGGCTGGTTATGCAAAGCGCTCCAAGGTGTGTGGGGATAATCAATTAGGTCAGAGGAGGAGAAGTGTGGCACTGCTTCCCTCATTATCTGCGTGGAGCTGGGGAGCGGGGGAGCATCCCAGAGCCAGGGAGCCGGAGGAGAATGAAATTATCTCCCTAAGTGATTGTCCACCTCTGGGACCAGCATATTAATGGTTTCCAATTGAATTTCTCTCTAGGGGAATACAGGAAGGGGGAGGTGGGGTACAGCTAGAAAACAACATGGAAGGACCAGAGGGCAGGTGCAACAGAAGCCAATCACCTGTCCCAGGTGAGGAATGAGGACAGAACAGGGTCCCACGTACCAGGCGGGTGTTCTCTGAGCACCCAGAGGACAGCCGGGCTCAGAGACTCCACTGTCTCACCCCTGCCTGAGTTTTGCAAGGTCGGCCATAGGGATTGAATGCTTGGGTAAGAATTGGATGTCAGACATTTTCTGTTTTAGTTTTATTGGGAAGTTTTTGCTGGAGACTTGCCTTGGGGCTAATTGTTTGTATCCTTCTAGAAATGTCCTCTGTATCCTACAATTTCTGGTTGCAGCTACCCTTCACCCTCATTAAGTGAAAATGGACAATTGTTTGTAAAAATTGTGTCTGTGATGAACTAACACCAGCTTGAGTGGAGGCAGGGCTCATACTCTCTCTAGTCCCACTTTTGACATCCGTGCAATGGAGGGCTTGGATTAGATGAATTTATCCAAGCTTTCTTCCAAATCCGGTGTTGTCTAGGATTAGGCATAAAGGAAAGAACTGTGAATTCAAAGATAATTGTGGGGGTGAGGGGGCCCTTTGACCTCTCTGGATACTGCCTCTTGATCCTAATTCGCTGCTGTCCTTGGATTCAGCCAACTTGACCAATTAAAAATGCCCGTCTGGCGCCGTGGCTCATATCTGTAATCCCAGCACCTTGGGAGGCCGAGGCGGGCAGGTCACATGGTCAAGAGATCGAGACCATCCTGGCCAAAATGGTGAAACCCTGTCTCTACTAAAAATACAAAAATTAGCTGGGCATGGTGGCACGCGCCTATAATTCCAGCTACTCTGGAGGCTGAGGTGGGAGAATCGCTTGAACCAGGGAGTCGGAGGTTGCAATGAGCCGAAATCGCGCCACTGCACTCCAGGCTGGTGACAGAGTGAGATTCTGTTTCAAACAAAAACAAAAACAAAAACAAAAACATGCCCGTCTATTGTGTGACGAACCTAGCTTTGATGCAGTTGCCCCTCCCCTCTAAGGAGGCTCTCCAAAGGCCATCCCAATGGTCTGAATGGAAAACCACCACGAAGGCATCTCTTCTCGAGGTAAGGGCATGACTGGAAAGGGTCTTAAGAGTAGAGCAGTTGTCCTCAACCAGGCAATTGTGCTTTTCCCTTGCCCCCTCCCTGGGGACATTTGACAATGTCTGGAGTCATTTTTGATCATCAGAACTAGGGTAGGGGTGCTATTGGCATCTCATAGGTAGCGGTCAGGGGTGCTGCAGAACAATCCTCCACTACAAAGAGTTATCCAGCCCCAAATTTCAGTACTGCTGAGGTTGAGAAACACAGAGCTGAAGCAGGGAGAGGTGTCTAAGGCAGCCACAGCAAGATTTTCTCCTGCAAGCCACAGCTTTGTTGAGAGAAACATTAAAACAGGGTGCTAAGCAGAGCGTTTTTGTTCTTTAACAACTTTTGGCCCTGGAACGGGGAAGTCAGGTGAGAGAGAAAGCAAACAGAAAACTGTGTGAGCCTGAGGAAAACAGAAGAGTCGGTTTCAACTCAGCCTGGTGCCCAGGGCCGGAGTGTCTGGAGGCAAAACCTTCTGGGGTGAAAGAGTGGGAGTGACCCCCAGTGAGATGTGTGTCTGGAAAGCTGGGGCCTGTCTCCC